TCAAGTCGAATTTAAAAGAGTAATCCATAGCTTTCGTGGCCCAGTTTGTACCTTAGTCAATAGCTAGGACCACTCACAGTTAAGAACTGCCTAGACAGCTGCTGCTTGTAGCCTATGAGTTAAAACCTTTTTTGGAGCAGGAAGCCTGCACAGTAAAGAATGCCAGAGGATAATGCCTACTGGGCAAATTGTTTGCCATATGCAGAGTAAATTACAATCAAATGTAATGTTTGTTTTGCAAGGAGGCAGCCACATGTAGTATTCTCATGCCAGTGAGTTATGACAGGCTCTGAAATTGGTGCTGCTAAATGCTCAAGTAGAGAGGGGGCACTCACACCTTGCCTTGGAGAAATTAGTTGCAAGGCATTAAAAGGGGAGACTTGGCTGACATATCATTATTAATTTAGAGACTGCCACAGCAGCTGCCATACTAATGCACTCATATAATAGACAAGGCGAAGACAGATAGAAGAGATCCCAGAGCAGAAACAGGGGTCTTCACCCCTATTAAGCTGGTTTGCAGAATCCCAGTGATCTGTGTGCTGAAGAAAGGCAGAGCTTTCCTGAAAGGAGCTTTGCAACTCAAAAAGAAAATAAATTATTCTGCATTACTAACTGGTTTGAACTGCCATGAAAAACAGGCTTTTAAAAGAGAGCATTATAACATTTGACTGCTTGCATTCAGGTAACACTCTCTGAAGGAAACTACAGCAATTAAACCTCTTTATATTGCTGTTAATGATACAATACTTTACAATATATAAAGGGATTACAGAATGATGGGGAGAAGGTCAATCTGATTCTAATTCTGCAAATGAGTGATTGGGAGCGAGAGAGAAGTTTCACACACGCTAAATAATGCAGTTTCAATCCACTTCAGCAACTGTTTGCAGGTGGATTTTGCCATTTCACACAGTAAAATTCAGTTGCAAAGTGGATTGAAAGTGTGTTACTTAGTGTATGTGAAAGCACCCATTATCTTACCTGGGATCACATCATAATCAGCTCTGGCTGCTTTCACAGAAGGATGATGTTCCATGGCCCTGGTCACACGCAAGGATTTGGGCCGGGAGAGGGACGGCTTGGATGCGCGGCAAATGGGCGTGATCCCACGGCAACATCTGGGAAGCGTTGCCTGCCCGTCACCAATCCGTCCCTCCCGCCCAAAACCCCGCACCAAAAAAGAACCACCTACCTGGGTGGTTCATCCGGCGCGTCCCCGGCTCCTGGCCAAACTGCGCATGTGTGAGCATGCGCAGTTCGCCAGCCTCTCCCTTCCACCGCCGCTTTCTTTCCGGCATCTGATCGTGCCAGGGAGCAACGGCGCCGCGGCTCAGGGGATCCATGGGATCCCGCCGTGGCGTCTCTAGTTTGGTGCGGCTCAGATTAGCCGCACTTCTGCCATCGTTTTTCCTGCTGTGTGACAGGGACCCATGTAGTTCTCATTGCCACTAGGAATGCAGAGGCATTCATTTTGGCAACACAGCATCCATATAGCAGTTTTGCCCACACTTTCTATACCTCATTCCCTGCAGCTACCACTTCATCACCACCCCAGAGGGTATTTTTTAAAAATTGGCAATTTGCTGGATTGTTACAGCACACTAATTGGCACGATCTGTTGCTACAATCTACTAGCTTATTTTTTTAAGTAAGCCTCTAGCCCTCTTCCTTGTAAAGAAAAAGCTTTGTACTTAAAAAAAAAGACAGGTGGGAATTCAGACAAGCTAGGAGATCATGGCAACAGCTCATTATAACGTTACTGCATCTATAGCGATCTAGCAACAGTTCATTTTTAAAAGTCCAAAAAAGCCCTCGACATGGGGACATGGTGGCCATGGGGCAAGGAAAATGGGGCCAATGTTGACAGGACCTTCCAAAATGTGTGCCTCCCCATCTACATGGGCTGGAAAGGCACTTTTGACTGCAATCATTCTAAAAGGATTATATCTGACTAGGTTTCGGGGAGATTTCATCAAAGCAAGGGAAAACACAGAGAGTAGACAATTAGAAGTTGAGACTGTGTGAAAAAAAACAGAAAACCTCCATGTGGAAGCAACTATTATGCCCATTAGACCACAATGACTTTCACTAAGTTTGGTTCAGGACACACTTTTTATATAATGTACGATTAACTCACAGAACTCATTACTTCAACAGATATAGTAATGGCCAGTTGTTGGAATAAACAAATACATGGGACACAGATTTACGTCTAACAGGCTAGTTATTCTGTCTGTTGAACACAAAGGCAGCATATGCATTTTCAAAATACATAAGTAAAACAAGGATTAGACCCATAGCTGTCATCCATGATAGCAAAATGGATTCACCGTGTTTATTTGATTTACAACATTTGCGTCCTGCCTTTACTTCCAGGAGCTTGGGCTAGCAAGCATGAGGTTGATTTTCACAATCACCCCGTGAAACAGGTTAAGCTGAAGGCCAATTTATGCCTTAGGCAGAAAATCTGTGATAGATTTTTTTTTAATTATCTTTTTTTAATGACCAAAATGACACCATGCGTGACTGCCAATTTATCTGGCATAGTGGGATGGGAGTGGAGGTGTACTGACAGAGTTAATAACTTAGAAACATTCATTAAAAAAACTGGTAATCTGAGGCAATCTTAGTTTCCTTAGCAGGAAAAAAGACCCTTGTGCTGAACAAAATTCCCTAGTTGTACTGCAAACTCTTTTAGTTATTCTTCACAGTAAAATGATTTTAAACCATTTCTTATTCCTTTAGTTCCTTTCTCCTTGACATTTTCCCAGTCAAAATCACATACATAATTCTACAGTTGTCTATCCCAAGGGCCGGGGGGGCATAAACTTGGATTTTCTCTCCTGCAGAGCAAACAGCACTTTAGAAAGGTAATTCTTATTGGGAAAATGGCACCAAGAAAGAATTAACTATCACCACTGTTCAAACAGCTTCAATTTAATATATATGTTTGTGGAGATCAATGACAGATCTACTATGTAATTCCTATTTTGGACCTGGAAGGGCTTAATTAACAAGCTGATTCCCCACTATTTTAAAGCTCTGTGTAGCAGCCACGGAACCCACCACCTTTTTAGATTTGGGCCATGGGACAGGAGAAGTGGAGTGTGATACTCAGCCCTCCCTCCAATTTAATTGTTGGGGTAATCAAAGTTCTGTGTGCTGCTACTGCCAAACTGTGATAAGGAATAGAAAGAAGATGCAGAGGGACCTGTTTTGATGCAGAGAAGAACCTTAACTTAATCATAACTCATCTGGAAGAATAACATACGCTAAGGCCCTAAACTATGTTGCATTTAGGAGGCCTCATAATATTACCAAAAATGGTAATTTAGTTTTTTTTTTCATATATACAGTCCCTCATAATCTGGCTTTCTAAACTAAACTTTGCAAAATTTGTATATCATCCAACTCTGATGAGAAGATGCCAAAGTATTCAATATGGTGAAATCCCGAACAAATTATGAAGAGTTCTAAAATTATTCCTCTAAATTGTTAACAGTCAAAATGTCACATCAGATACTACTAAGGAGAAGTATAATTATGCATATTTGGTCTAAAAATTCTAGCACATCTGTACTGGGACACAGACTGCCTATGACTATCCAGAAAAGGTACCTTAGGGCCATAGGGATAGCTCAATGAAAATGTCAACTCAGTGTACGGCAACAGTGAAAAAACCCAATTACATGCTAAAGATCATTAGGAAAAGAACTAAAAATAAATTTCAGTACGAATAAATGGTTTGGACACATTTGGAATACTGTCTATAATTCTGGTGATCATATCTCAAAAATGACATAGTAGCATCTCTGTAAATACTGCAGACAGAAGAAGAGACAGGATAGAGAATGGGTTAAAGAAGCAACACCAAACTAAAGATGTAACAGGCTGCTTCCACACAGGATGGGAAGGGTCATCCCAACAGTGAAAGTAGAAGTGAGTGAAGTGGAGTGCATGGAACTGGTGTTCACACATCCTGTCCCTATGTTGCTTTCTTTGTCATATCAACACAGATGCTCTGATACCTCAAGTAACTTCCTGGGCCACCTGCAGCCCAACAATTGCCCTTCACCTCTCTCCCACTTAACAGCTGATCCAAGGTTCAGCTATTACATAAAAAAGCCCTTAAAAGGCTGGGGTGGGGGTGACAGAGCTATATAGGCCCCGGTCACACGGCAAAGTTGCTGCGGGAGAGGCACGGATGGTGGGCGGATTATCCGGGCGCGATCACACCCCAACATCTGGGAAGTGGAGCGCACTGGTGGCTTACCACTGACAATGCGCCGTAAAAAACTAGTACCTCCAAGGTACTAGTAAACGTTTGCCACGAGCTGCCTCCAGACGCCCGTAGTGATCGCGCCAGCGCGCAGCATTCCCCTCCGGTCCCTCGTTTACCCGCCAGCGCCGAGGGAAGGACCCGTGGTGTGCCGCCGGTGCATCTGATCGTATAATCGCGCATCAAACTGCGCCGGGGCAATTAGCCAAGCCTCCCCCCCCTGCTATATCCGGCCTGTGTGACCGGGGCCATATATTGGTTCTGCATGCCACAGTTAGGGAGAAAAAAATGGAGCTAAAGTTTCATGCAGAAGGCATCACAGTCATGGCTTTTGTCAAGTTAATGAATCTTATACTTTAGATATGTTCTTTTTGCACATGAGAATGCCATGTTTTCTGGCATTTTGGGGCTGCCATTAAAAATAACAACACAAATACAACATAAAATGACTGAGAGAGTGTTACTGGCCCAAGGTTACCCAGTGAGCTTCATGTCAGTATGAGGATCTGAACCAAGGTCTCCCAGATTCTGATTCAGTGAGCACTAACCACTATACCACAATGACTCTACAAAAGAAGACATAAGGCCAAAATTCATAAAAACAAACTCAGCTCTTTAATTCTTCAGAAAACTAGCATTGTGGTTTTGGCTCCTTACAGCATCGATGTACTACATGGAACAGGATGAAATCCAATGGCGGAAATGCAGATTCACTCACCTTGCACCCACTGACAATGTCATGACCCCAGGAGTTTGATGCACATTTATCACACCTCTCTCCGACAGTATTGGGAGGGCAGATGCAACGACCGGTGTGTGGATCACAATTATTCCCAAGATGGGCACACTCACAAGCTTCATGAGGGAGGAAAAGAGAGATAAAGACAGAGAAACAAAACATTTTTAACCATCAGGCATATCATTCATATTCTAAATACAGTAATTTCAATCTGGATCATCATACTATATATACCACTTTCTGCTATTGGAACACATCTAACTATGGTCTGGAGGTATAAGAACAGAGGAATGAAAAGTGATGCATAATCAGAGTCTCACAGCTTTAGATATGTTGCTCCTTCAAGCCTGGGCTGGGCACTTCCAGATTCTCAGCTGTGTTGGAATGCACATAGGCAGCCTTCTCCTGGGGTTCCATCTGTGTTTGTCTTGTTTTTCTTTAAAGTACAGTGGCCATACTATTCTCTTATTCCTGATCTCTCAGTGAATCCAGTTCAATACCCTTATTACATCTCATCACTTGTGCCCTTCACTACTCCATTAGTAAGCCTTACAAATTAATGGGAGACAAATCATGAGATGTAGTACAAACTGTGCCTCCTCCTCAAATGATAATCAACAGCAGATAAACCATCATTTTAGACATATCCTAACACAGCTTTAATGGATGCTGAAAATTACAGGAGTTTGTAAGATTAGAGTCAGTTCAAAATTTATTGCACTTCTGTTCTGCTCTTTCTTTGAAGAGCTCAAGCAATCTCCCTTCTAGAAACACACTTGGCTGACTCCTGCTTAGACTCAACAAGAGGGGACCCACAACAAAATGTTGCATAATGTGTTGTGACTCCCTGAGCTAGGACAAAAATGTGTGAGCTGGAGGCTAAAAAGCTGTAGCTAGCTCACACTAACTCAGCTTAGAGGGAACACTGGTGGCTGCAGTCCAGAGAAACCCCACAGTTTAAAAGTAATCATTGTTATCAGAGCTCTGCAGTGTTAATAGCATTCCCATGGCATGGCCATGGGGAGGACTCAATGCTATCAGAACAACAGGAGAGAGAGGGATGGGGAGAGAAGGCTCCTCCCCCTCTGCCCTCGTAAGTCCGTTTTCTACACAGCTGCAGTGAACTATGTTTTACTTTTAGCCTGTTTTTTAATTCCCCCCTCTATATTTTAAAGTTTTTAGATTTTTCTGCACACCTGGGAAGTAACTCACGTGTGCAGGATAATCTCTTTTTCCTCCATGCGGTCCCAATCTGCGGAAATAAGTATCCGCACAGAGAGGGGACCCTTGGCTATTAGTATATAGATGATGTAACAGCAGAATGTCCTTTCAAGACCACTGGCTCCTGTTTGTATGAAGAGTTTCTGGTTGCACACCTGAAGTCACTAACACATTTGTAAGCCCTAGTAGCATCAGTAGAGGTGTATGCCATTGCCTCTGTATGAAACAAACTGGAGAAATTTGGCTTATCTCATGATTTCAGACTTCAATATTACTTCTGTTTACATTGTATTTAATTAAAAAGACTGACATAATGTTATGAAGTTTCTTCGAACAAATCAACTTACTAGAATGAAATCCAAAACTCAATCAAAATAGGGGTAGCCTATGGTATCTCTTAAGGATCTTTGCTCATCAAATGTCAACACTGTTGTTTTTTGTTTTGCTTTGTTACAATATATTTGTAGGGCTTATTTTGCCTAATGACATTTATTTGAATCAGGCTGAATTTCAGAGATATAAAGGCACTGATCCCATGTGAGGGATTTTTTTCCCTATGAGATATAACAATGGCTGATGCAGGGGGGAAATTCCTCATAGCCAGAGCTTGAGTTTGCACGCAGTACATTCCCATGTAATGTGTACCAAAACAGATGGGAATGCTGTCATCCCCAAATGCAATGATCACCTGTAGGGTCCTCAAACACCTGCCAATTTGGCTCACTTTCTGCTTGCCAGTGGTGACCAGAGAGCCAATTAATTAATGGGCTGTCTGGCTGTTTGCAACTTGTTTGTGTGTGTTCACAGGAACAGGCTACTTGCAGTCACCAGAAGTCAACTCCCAGCTATGGAGGGGTTACCTGGGAGTTGGCTTTTGATTTCCTGCTGGGAAAATCTTGCTGTTGGCTTGAGCTGCAGAAAAAAAGGAGAGAAACCAGAAGAACAACCTCTCTCTTTTGCAATGCAGAGATTGAAAGCACTGCATCTGTCCCCACCCAGCTGGGAGAGGGGGGAGAGAAAAATGGGTTCTTTTCATTCTCCCTTTTGCAATGCAGACATTAAAAGGATTACTTCTGTACCCACTTAAATTGGAGCAGAAGGAAGAGAAATAGGGTTGCAAAATTCAAAATACTTGCCGGTGGGGGAGCGTCCAGTCGCTCCGGGAGCCGGCGTCAGATGTGCACGCACGCGCCGCCAGAGCATCACCGGAAGTGACGTCACACGCTGGGCGGGGCCACGCCATTTAAGGGGAAAACAAAGAGTTTCCCCCTCAAATGGCGTGGCCCCGCCCCCAGCGTGTGACGTCACTTCCGGTGATGCGCACGCTGGGGCGGGGTTCCCCTCGGGTCCCGATTCCCCGGCGTTGGGGAACGGGGCCTCCGGGGCGGGGGGTTTCCGCCCTACCGGGGGAGTTGGCAGCCCTAAAGAGAAATGAGCTGTTTCACTGTCTTTTACAATGTAGAGATTAAAGGCATAGCATCTGATCCCATCCAGTGTGGAAAGAAGGGGAGGGGAGCTCTTCGCCTCACTTTACAATGCAGAGATCAAAATAATTTCTTCTGTCCCCACCCAGCTTGGAGGGGAGGGGAGAGAAACAAGCCCTTTTCCCTCTTCCTTTTGCAACTTTACTGGGTAACTATTTTACACAGGGTCAGAAGTGGGCTCCTACTTTGATCCTTCAATCAGCTGTGAGTGGACTTCTAATCAATAGGCAACTGCAAACGTATAGTTCAGCATCTGCATAAATTGTTTGATGCAGTCTGAACATTATCAGGTCACAGTCTGATCATGTCAAATCATGTCTGATCATGCCAAACAAGGCAAGCTCGCCACCTGAACATGTTCTCTGACAAATTTATGGCATTCCTAATGGGGGGGGGGTAAGTTTAGGTGTACCTTACTCTTCCCCAAAAGTGAAAAATCTATCAGAGTAGAGTTTTTTGCCCATCTATTTGCAGAGGGAAGGAAAATCATGCTTGTGTACATCGCTGGTTGTGGAGCATAATCAACACAGTCTAGGATTGCCAGACCCCCCAGTGTAGGCAGGGATCCCCCACTGCCAGACATCACTGTCCTGCTGTAAATCACCTGGCTGGCCGGAGGACTTCCCCAGAAAAAGAACAAGGCCCTGTTGACATTGCAGTGACATGTCTACATGCTGGGTCTGATTTGACCCAGAAATGACATCATCATGTTGGCGATATCGAGGTGACGTTCTGGTATTTGGGCAAAAACTCTATGGTAGAAGCCACTTTTACCAAAGAGTTTTTGCCCATATACCTGAGCACGGCTGGATGTTGCAGTATGATAACATCACATCAGAAGTGACGTAGGCATGTTGCTGCAACATCAGATGGACCTCCCTCTGCTCCTGATAAGTCCATCCCACCTCCCGCCAGTTGCCAGGAGGGACCCAGCAACCCTAACACAGTCTGTTTTCTACAGCTTTTTAGGCATTTTTTTTTTTGCAACACATGCCAGTTTTTATGGTTACTCCTGCTATAACGTTGACTATTTAGGGGAAAAATGAAATAAAATCTTAAAAGGAACACTACAGAAACAGCTTCCTCTTAATCAGAATGCCTACTAATTTCCCCCAGTAAATAAAGCACTTAATATTCTGAAATGCTGGATTTAAATTATCATAATCTGCTGACCTGCTTTATCATCTAATCTAGCCATCCCAGTGACTATGCTGGAGACTGCATTAACTATTTTATGGGTCTGCATCACTATCAAGGAATGATGACCAAAGGCATCCCCACTGCTTGTTTCTTTCTTTTATTCAATCACAGTGATTTAAAACATTTTATCCATTTTTTGGCTGCAGTACATGGAAAACATTATTCAACACTATAGGAAACCCTAGTTTACATGAACCTCCCTAAGCATAAAATTGTTAGATTATAGCTATTATTTCTACAGCTTGCAGATTTTATTCTTTGCATTTGGCACACTGAAATATCACTCTTGTCCTTCTGTTTGTGATAAAACACAATTTATGACAACAATGTAAAAACAAATTAATACATCTTCCCTATCACTGAATCATGTAAAAAGGGGATATTTTATAGTGAAGGAGATGGGCCAAATTGAGGCATTCTGGGAATAAATCAGATATATATTGGCAGAAAGTTTTCAGAACAGAAAGCAGCTTTCCAAACCTGCAAGTCCTGCAAAAATGACACATCACAGAGATCGTTCACAAGGTATTTGTTCCATACCGATTTGTGCTAAGAGCCTTAAGTCTACAAGTACCACTTTCTTTTCAATTCAAGTTTTCTCTTCAGTGAATCCAAGCAGTGACCTCTTACCCTTACCAAGTGCTGACATGTTTAAACTTTTACACAACAATAAACATGCCTTTACAGATCCATTCCTCTTGAACAGGGACACAATAGCACAGAGCTACAGTTCTGAACATAATCGCTACAATTCTTAAAATATACTCATCTGCCCAAGAAGGTTATTTCTTTGCTAATCCACAGATGGAATGGATTGGAAATACCTTTAATAGCCTAGAGGCCCTTGCAACACTTGATCAGAATTGGAAGAGGACACAGCTCAGAGATCGAGTATGTGCTTTGCATGTACAAGGGTCCAGGTTCAAGTACCTAGCATCTTGAGTTAAAATCAAGTCTTCTGTGTCTGTCTTACCAAACCCCCACTAGAACAGAAATTCCCATCTACATTGCATGCCACTTTCACTTTGACTGATTGTCGAATTTTATAGCACCGTCCAGATTGCATGCTGTTTTCACTTCGTTTGATCTCTGGTTTTATGGTGGCTGTCTGCATAGATTTATGGCCATTTTATGGCCATTCAGGGGTGACTCTGCAGTAAGTACAGCATTAACCTGGGGTATTTGGCGGAATCTATATATGCATTCTAGAATCAGCTTGGTGCCGCTGTTATCCCATGTGGTTTAGAACTGCTGCTCCTCTGCTTTCAAGTTAGCATTAGGGGAGCTGTCCACTTTGTCTTTTTTTCAGTTATCTAATCACAATCTATTGTTCATCACTAGATGGCCCCTGGGGGTTACTGGAGTGTTCTGGGACTGAAATGAGAAGCCCCACAGTGGAATGGTAGCCCCTGGGGTTAGCAGGAGTATTCTGGGACTGGAATAACCGGCTCCAGAGTGGAATGACAGCCCAGGGGGTAGGAGATGTGTCCTGGGACTGTAATGATAGCCCTGGCATTCCAGTTCCAGGATACTCCTCTTACTCCAAGGGGATGTAATTCCACCATTGGGCCTGTCATTCCACTCCCAGAAAACAACTGCTACCCCGAGGGGCTGTCATTCCACTCTGGGGCCTGTTATTCCAGTCTCAGAACACTGCTGCTACCCCCCAGGGGCTGTCATTCCACTCTGGGGCCTGTCATTCCACTTCCAGAACACTGCTGCTACCCCCAGGGGCTGTCATTCCACTCTGGGGCCTGTCATTCCAGTTCCAGAATACCCCCAGAGGCCGTC